TGCTTATAAAAAAATAATAGAGTTTTTCTTGTATTCAAAATATTACCAACTAAGTAATAAAATGTTTGTATCTCAGTAACACTCAGACGCGACCGGAGTTCCCGGAAATGGAATCCATTTATAAACTCATATATATATATGCTATATATGATAATTCCACATTTAACTGACTTTTTATCCGTACTTCTGTTGCAACAATTGATAAATCTTCGTTATATTTATTTAAACAAATGGAGTCAGAATACGATTTTAAATTATCATTTTATAATGACTTTAAAAAACTTTTTGAAACCAGGGAAGGTTATGATGTTATAATTTATGCAGGTAAAAATAATGAAGTCCTTTACGCGCATTCGATCATCTTACGAATTCGTTCTCCATATTTCCAAACTGCGTTTTCCGAAAAGTGGGCTAAAAAAAGAGATGATTTATTTATTTTTGAAAAACCTAACGTCTCAAAGAATGCGTTTGAATCTATTCTCAAGTAAAATAATGAATTTATTTATTATTATTTATTTATTTATCTTTATTCCAGATTCTTATTTTTTATAAAATTTCAAAGATACTTATACACAGCTGAAATTAATCTAGAATCGTATGAAGGTTCAGAAATTTTGGAATTCTTTGTTGCATCTGACGAACTAAATCTTCTTAAAGTAGTTGAATATATCTCAAAATATTTGATTAAAAACAAATCTATATTTTTACATCAAGATCCTGTTAAAATTCTCCAAACCATTTACAAACATAAAGCTTTATTTGAATTGAAAGACTTTTGTATAAATCAAATTTGTGCATCTCCTCGTGATCTATTTGATTCAAAAAATTTCATCACCTTGGAAGAGCAGCATTTATTAATGTTGATAAAACTGGACCAACTTAATATGAAAGAGATTGAGATTTGGAATAACATAATCAAATGGGGAATCGCACAGGATCCTAAACTCAACGATAAAATTAATAATTGGTCTCCTGAAGACTTTACTCTCCTTGAAAAGATACTACATAACTTAATACCATTCATAAGATTTCATCACATATATTCAAATGAATATTATCATAATGTTAAGCCTTTTAAAAAGATTTTACCAAAAAGTCTAAGAAAAGACATTGAACGTTGTTATCTGGTTCCAGATACTAAACCCGAATTTAATGTTTTTAAAAAAAGGGCTTTAGGAATTTTGGATGTAGTTTGCGATTCTGTTTTTATTAATAATGATCATCTGAAAATTTTTGCAAAATGGATTTCCGGAAAAGAAAATATTGATATGACTTCTTATATTTTTAATCTTATTTTTCGTGGTTCCAGGGATGGTTCATCTCATAAAACATTTCATCAGAAATGTGACGGTATGGGAGCTACAATAGTTGTAGCAAAACTTAAAGAATCTGATCGAATAGTTGGTGGATATAATCCATTAGATTGGAAAATGAACGTTATGGGTACTGAATGGAAAATCACAACAGAAAGCTTTATATTCACATTCAATAACTATAAAGAACTTACATCTGCTAAATTAAGTCGTGTTTGTGAAACGAGTTATGCTATATGCTGTGATAGTAATTATGGTCCAATTTTTGGTAGATATAATAGCGACCATCATGACTTGGTGCTTTTAAGCACAGGAATTTGGATGGTTGGACCATCTTCTTATCCGAATATTGATATACCATCACCTTTTCAAATAGACGATTATGAAGTATTCCAAGTAGTTAAAAAGAACAATAAATGAATAATGAATATTAAGCATGTCACATAAAATCAAAAAAGGCACACTATTGGCAAAAAATTATTAACTATGATACGTATTCGATTTATAAGAGATTTAATATTAATCCTTAATTGCCATATATTTTTAGTACATAATACATAATTAGCAGATGCCATTAAGACTCGCGAATATTTAATTGAAAATTCTTAAGGTAAACCTTTGTCATTAAATTATGATAGTGTAAATAATTTAATACGACGAATTGTTGATAAAGACAGTTGTCACAAGCACTCAAACAGCCCTGCTTCGATTATTTTGCCATTTACTCTAAAAAAATTTCTTATTTTAGACCTCGTGTTAGACATATTCTCTTGTAAACAGATTAATTGGGTGGAACTAAGGAGAAAAATGAAATTTCCAAAATGTCCGACTCTCAGTAGATTTTTAGTTTGAATCAACAATTAAAAAAGCAAAATAATTATTAAAAGCTATAAAAAAAAACCTACACTGATGTATATTATGAATACTGACCAAATTATCATGTTTAGCTTCAAACATCAATCTTGATATGATTGGTTTAAATATTATTTGGGGCAAATTTTTAGTAATCGGAAATTGGTCATTCAAAAATTTATCATTGATAAAGGTCGCTCAGCATTACATTTTTACATAATAAACAATGAATTCTCAACAAATTTTTAACCGATCTAAAAAAAATAGCTACTTTATTTTTATGCTCGAAGCTTTTAAAGCAAATAATCGATACTTTGATATGAACGTAATAAATGCATCCCATCTTTTAACTTTAATCAAACTATAATGAATACTACTATTTCGCTTTTCGTTCACCTAAATTTAAAAATTTTCAGCAAAAATGTTTTCTTATATTTAACGGATAATGAAGGTTATAACTTTCTTCAAAATATTTTCGTATTACCTATGCTACTTTCAGTGAGAAATAGCGACTGAGAATTACTATAAAAATATTTTATAAAAAATTTACTTCTTGTTTCCGCAAAGCAATTTTCGCTAACGACTCCATAAGTTGACTCTGTTACTGTTGCAACAAAAATTTTAATTGGTAAAATCATTAAAAGGCGATGCTAATGAAACTGAAGCTGAAGCTTCGGCAGTTGGGTTGAATAAAAATTTTTTCTATTAGGTTTTTTAGGGGGCATAGCGAAGATTATGAAAAATAGAAAGATGATTTAATTCTTGTATCTACCATTTTACCGTCACATTATTTACAAGTCTATTATAATGTTAATAAAAGAACTAGGTTTCGTTACGATCTTATTTTGGTCTTTGACGATCATTGATTATCAATTCATCAACCCGGTAAAACATCAGATACAAAAAATTACGAAATGTTTAAAAATAATGTCAAAGCCAATTATAGAGGATATTAGATTAGGATTCAATCTCTTATCGCCTTATGGAGCATGATCAGAGCACGCACTGCACAGTGCAAGCAGCACAAGAAGACTACATAATAAAACGTCTCATTTTGGTGAGACCCAGCATAGCAGATGTTCGTTTTCGATCATACCCGGATAGAGTACCGGCTAATCCCGGACAAAAATTTTATAACTCGCGAACTTTCAAAAAATTAGTCAATACATTCTAAAGACATATTATAATTTTACAATATACTAATTAAGTTTTGTTTAATTTGGGTTTTGTTATTTTTTTCGCAATAAATGTCAAACTAAATAACGCGTACGCGACCATTCCTAACACTACCATTACTATCACTTATTGTATTATAAACATCATATTCACAAACTATACTTGTATCTAAATAAATTATAATCAAAATATTAAAATACGGTTTAAAATAATAGTTCAAAATAATACTTTTACTTGTAAAAAACACAAACAAACTAGTTGAAGCAGAATCTCTTACTAGTTGCTTAATATTCACTTCTCATCTAGTTTCTTGAACTTCCGTGTCTTACTGTATCTCTCATTAAAAAACAGTAGGTTTAAAGGTGAAAAATAGGATGCTTAAATTTGTTGTTTCGTCGCGTATTACGTACGTACAAAAAAAAATTTATGATTTTTACTAATAAAAGTATTTTAAAATTTACAATTGACTGTATAAATAAATGATCATCGCCAATCATTTATTCAAATTTTAGCCAATTAAACCGAATTTCTGCTAAGCTTATTTCCTTTTATAATAATTTTTTGATGCGTGATTAAACGACGAAATAAATTAATGGGATCCGTGTATCGTCTCCCTCTATACATTTCATTCGCTTTCTGATTCTACTATGTATCGGAAAAATCATCGTCCACTTCAGGCATTTGCATCAAATTTTTGGAGGCTTGAAAATTTTTTCTTTATCAAGAAGCAAAACGTGACTTTTGCGTACCGTCGCCGGTACGGTTGTAGATCCTATTTATAGCGCGTGATCATAAGCTAGGCATGCGTGCTCCGAACGGGTCGGTCGGTTGACAATTTTCGAGTTAGAGCTTCAACCCAACCGAAATTTTAGGGCTAATATATTAAATTTTTTTAAAAAAATGAATTCAATCGCCATTTTTGCTCTTTAACGTTTAATAATTCATGTAACGATGATCATCGAAGTTGGCTAATCAAATCTAAGCGCGGTATGCTTATAAACTCAACGGACTACTACAGTAAGAATCGTGCATTGCATATTCAGAATCAATGAAGGTTTTTTTTATTTTTATCCTATGGATTCATGGGATTAATATAAAAAGACTTTACTGGTTTTGCTGTCGAGAAATTATTGTTCGAAGTTAAAAAGAATTTAGGCGATTATTAAACAAAGTCAGCAGTTAGGTTTTTCCAAACTTTGATCGATAATACCACGATAACTGCCCACCTAAAATCGATGAAACCTTTTTTTATTTTTATTCTATGCTATGGATTAGATAGGTAATTGCTGAGATATTTTCGGTCAAAGTTCGAAAAAAAGTATATAATATTATTACCAGGGATTTTTAATTTCATTAGCTTGAGATATCGATAAATATGCACCAATCAGATCTCTTCGAAGAATCAACCCAATTTCAATATGTGTAATATTTTAAAGTAAAAAATCTACGTTAAAATTAGATTAAAAATTAGAATTTTTTATATTAGAGCGCAGAATGTGGCTTCATAGTCGAAATTTCAAGTTACGTATCGACAGTTTTTAAAAAATGTGTTACCATCTAGATTTCCAAGAAAGATTTTTAACATAGTATATGGATATATATATTAAAAAATAATAAGTCCAATCCAAGTGAATCAATAAATGCTTTATTAATTTTTGCCTATCTGCTATGAAAAATTTGTTCGTCATTATCTACTATTAATGTATTATCGCCCTCACCATCACTTAGCGAAATGAAATCTGGTGTCGGTGGTGGTTTTTGTAGTATTGTGCCATTGGGAAGGATGTTGGGAAAGATATTTCCAGAATTACTCTTCTCCTAATCACAAAGATTAGAACAAGTGTCTCGCTATGATGATTATTACTGGTCATTATGGACTTACTTTTGAACGAAGCCAGCTTTCTGGTGGTCTCGCATGCTTGATAGTAAATTTTCAGAAGATAATGATAAAGGCAAATGAATAATTTGAGGAGAAAAGCGGAATGACAACTAAAATTAAGTTATATCCCAACCTCATTTGGGGGAGTTGACAAAGTTGATTCCTCATTTGATATGTTCTCTTACTTCCAATTATTGGTTTATCTTTCTGATTCAAGATAAAATCTAATTTCATCTCGTTCAAGGTAGCATTGGCCTTATTTCCTGGTGTTGTGAAAGAAGTATCGGGTGTTGGTGTTGTGAGAGAAGTATAGAGTGGTGGTGGTGGCGGTGTTGTGAGAGAAGCATCGAGTGGTGGTGTTGTGAAAGAAGTATCGGATGATGGTGTTGTGAGAGAAGTATCAAGTGGTGGTGTTGTGAAAGAAGTATCGAATGATAGAGCACTAGGAAAGTTAAGAGCCTACATATAATCTAATTTTGCCTTTTCTGCGATCATATGAGCTTCATTCCCTGACACATAACGATCAACAGCAAACTGGGTCTGCCAACAAAAGGTTGACATGGTTAATGTGAAGATTGAAACTTAGTATATATGTGTCGAAAATACCTTGGCTTGTTCCAACTTCTTTTTCAACAAACGTTCATCTAAGTCAATTTTTTCGCTTTCAACAATTTTCCAGAATAACTTAACTTCCTCCCACTGTGTTTGGCACTCGAGAAAATAAAATAATTATGAGTTTAGAAACAAAAAAAAGAGACATCAGGAGCTGACAGATTATTAGGGACTGCAAACGAACAGCGTTCTTGATAAAGGGACAGCGTCTATAGTCTTCATGCAGATTTAAGATGGAACCCACCGGGGAGCCCCCATAACTAGCCTGACCGCGTCTGGCCGCTTAGGTGGTTGTTTTGACAGCGTCCAATCCCATCTCTATCCAGACCTTTCTCTTTAATGCAAAATTTTGAAGCACTTACTTTGATCATTTCATTTTCTTTGAGAGCTAAAGTGACTTCTTTCCATTTTTTATCAGTTGCTGTTTCCGCAATGTATGATACAAACTTAAATATTTCAGTGTGCTCAACACTCTTCTTGTATGTGAAGTCATATTTCATACGACGAAATTTGAGGATTGAAACAAGGTTAAATTGTTCAGGGCTCAAAGCAAATTCCCATCCTTCAAACTGAAGTGATAAATCTTGAATCTTAAGATGAGAAAAAGTAATAGAAATTAAAAACTAAGGCAACTATAATACGGTATTGTTGAAAAGCTCACCCTTTTTTTGAACATTACAATAATATTTTTTTCGAAAATATTGGAGTAAAAATGTTGTGTGTACCCCACTTTTTAAATGTCAGATTAGCGGAAATCGCAATGAAGTCTTTAGCATTTAGTGTTTAGTCATGGTGATACGAAAGTTACGATCTTGATTGTCCGGAGCGTAGTGAAGGACATATATTGGACGAGTAAAGTGCATCAAAAGTTACGTTTTTGATGCATCAAAAGTTACGATGTTGATGTATCATAGTGATAAAAATCAAGAACATAACTTTGAAAAGGATGTCTGTCCGCACGCAGACTAAAGTTATGTTTTTGATGTATGACTATATTTGATAATTTATTCGCTCCGGACTTACAACAGTTTTTTAAAACTGTTCCCTAGTTTACAGTATTACTGATCCGGAGCGAAGTGGAGGATCTTTTACTAGACAAGTAAAGTGCATCAAAAGTTGCATTTTTGATGCATATGGATGTCTGTTCGCACATATGACAAAAGTTACCTTTTTGCTGCATCTGCATAAAAATTATAAAGATCATGTCAAGTTTGTGTAATGAGATGATTAGAGCTGCAAACATTTAAAAGGTTCAAGTAGTATGTTACTTCTTACATAGGACCTCAGACATCTCTAATATAGATATTTGGATTTTGGTCAATTTGGCCTAATTTGTTAAAAAATAGAATTTTGCTTTTTCTTAAATATCTCCGGATCCAGTGATTAGAATTAAATGAATTTTTTTTTAAAAGAGTGTCTCACTAAGGCTTTTATTTAAAAAAAAGTTCATCCAAATTAGACTACTGATTGCTGAGATATTTACAAATATGTGATTTTTTGCTCCCAAATTTATAGAAGTTTTGCTAAAAAGTTTATATATGACCTATATCTTAGATGTCTGGGGTCCTCCTTACATCATATAAAATTTATATATAAATATATAGTAGTATTACAAAATAGGTTGTAACATAGTGTAATAGTAGTATAAAATAGTTAGTTTATATTCAAGTATTTGTATTATTATTATATTATACTAGGCTAATATGTAGCATTGTATAGCCAAAGCACATGATAATTATCATTCAACACAAACATGTAAGCATGCATATTTTTGTTGCACTAAATTACAAATTTGAATACACGTATAGATAGACAAAAAATTTCCAAATTATATTTCTGATATGATCTTCATAATATTTATATAACTGTATCAAAAAAGCAAATTCTAGTAGCTTTAATGTATCAAATATGTAATTTTTATATCATCAAGCATAAATATTAAATATTCACCGCCACTACACTTTGGCCAATTATTAGTTATTATATAGTTATATTTATTGTATTAATTATAAAAATATTATTGACTAGTTATATATAGTATAGTAATGTTACACAAGTGCCTCCAAGTGCCTCTATATGAGTGCCTCCAAGTGTCTCTATATGAGTGCCTCTAAGTGCCTCTACACAAGTACCTCTAAGTATCTTTACATAAGTGCCTCTATATAAGTGCTTCTAAGTGTCTCTACACAAATGCCTCTGAGTGTCTCTACACAAGTGCCTCTAAGTGCCTTTTATATAGTTTAGGCATTACACCTCTTATATATAGAAAAGTTATAAAAAGAGAGCCTTTGTATCTTCTACTCAAGTTAGAGAGTTCCCTACTCTCTCATAGTATTTAGCCTTATTTTCTTATACTTCTTGTCTTTATATAAAGTGATATACTTTCTTTTAAGTAATTCTAGTAGATAAGATTATTCTTTTTAACCTATAATAAATAATATATTAAATCACATATTGTCTTTATGTTGAATCATTGCTTTCTGCTAGTGAAAGTTAGAGCACACTCCACTTCCACCTCGTGTATACTCCAAATAGTAGGGTCCTTGCACTGGGTAACTTTGTTACCTTGCTATATGATAATTAAAAAGGCTATAGCATTGTAACAATAGTAAACGTTATGTTATATATATTACATCAAATATCATAGTAAATGTTTATTGATATTCTAATACCAGCAGCTCTAGAGATAATTATACAGTAATACAATATGCTTTGGATCTAACAATACTATGTATTTTTTTAGTTTTAGTAAGTTTTCTAATAATTATTTAAAATTTGTTGTCTGGAGTATAACGAAAGACATTTAATAGATGAGTAAAGTAGATCAAAAATTGCATTTTTTTGATGCATATGAATGTCTGTTTGCACATATAACAAAAATTACATTTTTAATATATAACTATATTTGATAATTTATTCACTTCAGATGGGGAAATATGATGTGTATATATGTACATATTTAATTACATTTTATACACATATGTAATTAATTTTATAGAATGAACATTCTGTAAATCTTATATTAGTTCTGTATAGTAAATATAAACTCTCAAAAAGTATCTTTTTTCTGAAATACCTTAGTTTATTATAAAGAAAATTAATTAATAATCTATTTGTCATCTGGAGGAGATATGCAAAATTTTATACAGTAAGTAAAGTTTACTATTGATCTAAATGTGGTGAGTCTATATTTAAAACTTTTTTTTACTAAGACAATCAATCTTGTCAATTAATTGAAAGTTGTAGAGCTCATCAAGACATATCTAATAGTATAAGAGCATTAAAATCGGCCTAGTAGTTCTTGAGATATCTTTAAAAAATGGTTTGTATATATATAAAATTTCTTTAAAAAAGGAGTTGGGACCCCATGGCCTAGTGGTTTAGACACCCAACCCTCCATGAGCAGATTTCATGTTCAAGTCCTAGTAGGTACGTTTACCTACAAATATTTGGAAGTATCTGCTATAGAAAGTCCAAGTAAATACAAGTCTGGATTAGAAATTTTCGAAAAGAAGTCTATTGTGGAGTAGTTAGCACTACATGTAATAGTGGTCATTACAGAAGGTTCTATTATACAAAAGTTGTGCATATAAATTTGTGATTGGCAAGATAGCACCAACAACCCCTAAAGCGATATTGGGGATCTTGTTTGGGAGGATGACTGGGCGGTAACCAGAATTGAAAAGTGGTAAGAAATGTGGTAAACACAAAGAGACCTGTAGTAAAGAATTGGCCTTACTAGATTTGGAACATCTCTGGCATATACAGAACTTACTGGCCAATAAGAAGTTGAAGTATAGAGGTATGTACATGTTGATAGACCTAACAGGCTCTAGTCGTACTCGTATGGGAGCCTTTGGCATTAAAAGGACTTGGGACCACTAATATAGGTATAGCTAGTATAAGTACATGCAGTAGTAACTGGAGGCTACAACTGCTGAGAATCACTATAAAAAGAAATGATGATGCACCTGTTATCTCTAAGCCTCATGATGCCATCCAACTATACTAACCACTAGAAGTATTTGCAAAACATGCTTGAGCAGCTTCATTATCATATTGGGAAGTACAGTCGTTAGTACAAATCTAATTGGATATGTTAAGATCTGGGTTCTGAAAATCGCAAGAAACCAGCTAGTTATGGCAGCATGCAGGCTTGAGATACTTATCTGTTTGAATAGAGGCAGCTGCATAGCTTGAGATATGAACTTCTGGAAGTATGCTAAGTAGAGATTGAGGAAGAAAATCTCTCTAACAAGCACATCAAACCAGAAGCAATAAGTGTCTACCTAGTATACACTAATTTGGAAGTTGAAGATAAATAGTTTGTGGGTAATGTAGCGGATATGTGAATACTAATTGGCAGTTGGGAAGGAAAGTATAAATCCAAGTCAGCTATTTAGTGGGGATATGGTCAGCTCTGGTGGGTTTTAGCTATAAATAAATGGTTTGTATACTTGATATCTTAGTCTTAGTACTTGATGTAATATATATATATATCAGCACCATCATATGTCAATCATTTAAATATTAAATAAAGTCTAAGTGTAGGTGCTAACTCTTATAATTAAAAATTTTTTTTTAAAAAAAAAAAAACTTTTTTAAAGGAATTTTATATGTATACAAGATATTTTTTAAAGATATCTCAAGAATCACTAAGCCGATTTTAATGCTCTTACCACCATTAAATATGTCTTGATGAGCTCTACAACTTTCAATTAATTGACATGATTAATTGTCTTAGTAAAAAAAAAGTTTTAGATGTAGACTCACCACATTTGAGTCAATAGTAAACTTTACTTATAAAATTTTGCAGATCTTCTCCAGATGACAAATAGATTATTAATTAACCATATTTCAGAAAAAATTATTTTATTTATTTTTTTAAAAAAATTTTGGCAGTCTTGCTTTCACTTTATTAGGCTTTGTAATAATTATCTAAACTATTAAAATTTTCTAAAGAGTTATACTCTACAGTACCTAAATTACAAGTGAAAACTTACCTAGTTGCTCAATGAGTACTTATATACAACCTGCTATAGTAAGATTCATATTTATATTATTTTATCCTGCAATTGGCTTCAATAATATATCAATAGTTAGTTCTTACTACTGTTGTAAAACAGGTTTTTACAATATAAAGTAGTTTAGCATAGTTGATATTTTATAGTTTATTTATATTTATATTTTATTTTATTTTTTTTTATAATTTGGCAGTCCTGTCTAAACTTTATTAGATTAATCGCAATTGGCTCTACCACATGCAAACTTATCACTAAAACACTAGCTTTAGTATCTAATTTCTAAGTTTTAACTAACCCAATTATCTAATAGATGTCTATGTTCAACCTGCTATAGCCAATATTGTCTATGTATCTATTTTTTTTGCAACCAAAGTAGATAGGTACATTATCAACTGGAATCAGCCGCCCATTATGACTACCAATTTTCTTAAGACCTTCCCTTTCTTAATATCCAAGCAAGAAGATTCTATAATCCTTGCCTCAAAAATGACAAGCATACTAAAAAAACTAAACTAAACAAGGAAGTAAAAAAAAGGTGAAAAAACTACAAAAATCTAAATGAGAACCAAATACAAAAAAAAATAATAATAAAATAATAAAAAAAAGAAAAAAACAAAAAGAAAAAAGCAAAACCCATGAAAGTAACAAGTAC